TCTTTAGATGTAACAATATAATAGTCAAAATACGGTAACATGATCAATGCATTGCTTGCTTCTTACGCTTACTATTAACGACTTATCCATTATAGAGTAGCTTTTTGACAAAAAAAATGGTGAGAGTATTTTATACGTAAGAAAAGAATGATTAGAAATGATTGAAGACATTATCACTATATCCATCTGCTTCTTCCCTGTATATTAACCACTTAAAGATTCTCTTAATCGTTACTAACTAAAATTCATGACATGATGCAGGTTTGATGTTGAGTGAAGATCAGATTCAAAATTGTACATTATTATTGATTGACAAGGTGTTGCGTAGTAAGAATGTTTCTTTGGCGAAATGGGAGACGATGCCACAGCCTACTGACAACGATCAATCAAATACTGTCAATCAGCTTCTGCAGGCCGAGCTTAACTATCCAGTTGAAGAGTTACGGGTACAACATCAAGAGTGGTTTGGACAATTGAATGATGAGAAAAGGGAGTTTACGATGAGATTATAGGCTCTCTCAATACTTCATAAGACGGAGTGTTCTTTGTCTATGGTTTTGGTGGCACATGAAAAAATTTCTTATGGAATATTCTTTCGGCAGACGTACGTTCAAGAGGTGATATAGTCCTTAATGTTGCTTCTAGTGGCATTGCCGCATTGTTGCTTCCTGGTGGAAGAACTGCACATTCAAGGTTCAGCATTCCTATAAATCCGGATGAATTTTCAACTTGCAAGATACAAACCGGTAGTCATCAGACTGAGTTACTGTCTAAAGCTTCACTCATTATATTGACGAAGCACCGATGATGAGAAAACATTGCTTTAAATATCTTGATCATAGTCTCTGCGACACTATGAAGACAACAGATGAAAGACCTTTCGTTGGGAAAGTTGTCATTTTCGGTGATGATTTCAGACATATTTTACCCGTCATACCCAAGGGAAATCGGGCTGATATAGTCATGGCCTCTCTTAATTCATTCTATTTGTATAAGCATTGCAAATTTTTGCAGCTAACCAAAAATATGAGACTCTTCTCGGAACCCGATGGTCAAGAAGTGGAGGAGATAGGAAGTTCTCCAAGTGGATTTTGGATTTAGGAGACAGGAAGATCAATGAATCAAATAATGGAGAAATAATGATAGAAATTCCTAAATATCTCATGATTACTAAATGCAAAGATCCTATCAAAGCAATTGTTGCAGAAATTTATGGAGCGTCTTTCAAATATTCTAAAGACCCTACTTTCTTTAACGAGAGAGCTATTCTCTGTCCAACTAACGAAGATGTTGACGTCATCAACAACTACATGCTTGATCAACTGGAAGGTAACTATAGTTTTATAATGGTCTTATTATTATTTTATCGATTATTATTTTATATATTTTATACTATAATTAGCTTCATATTACTTAATATCATACTGATTACTTGTATATATTGTGATACAACTTAAGTAGGTGAAGAACGAATATATTTAAGCTCTGATAGTATCGATCCTGCTGATTCAAACTCAAAAGATGACTCCATCTTCAGTGCTGAATTTTTGAACAGTATAAAAACTTCAAGCTTACCTAATCATTCTATCAGGCTCAGGATTGGTACACCAGTGATGTTACTTAAGAATATTGATTCCGACGAAGGCTTGTGTAAGGGGACAATGTTGCAGATAACCCAGATGGCTAATCACATTATTGAAGCTAAGGTTATCACAGGGAAAAGAATTGGTGAAAAAGTCTGGTTACATCGACGGCTATTAGAACTGTCTGATTCGAAGCTCCCATTCAAGATGAGGCGAAGACAATATTCACTAAAAATTTCATTCGCAATGACGATAAATAAAAGCCAAGGTCAAACACTGTCCAAGGTTGGTTTGTATTTACCTAGACCTGTTTTTTTCACATGGACAACTTTATGTTGCCTTCTCTCGGGTGAAGTCAAGAAAAGGACTGAAAATTCTTATAGTTGATGAGAATGGGAATCCGCAAGAATCAACTATGAATGTAGTTTACAAGGAGGTCTTCCAAAATCTAATCCAGTACCAGGAAGTTTAGGTACACTCCTAAGTCATTTATAATATGTAATAATTGTCGTCAGCTACATATTTTTCTCATGTAGTCTATTTTGTTTCGTTATGTTTGTCATACTTCGTATATATCTACAGTATTCCTCAAGCATTGGTTCAAAAAAAAACTGGTAGATAAAGGTTCGAGCATCTCATACCGGATATTTTTATTACATTTATATATATATATATATATATATATATATATATATATATATATATATATATATATTTAGGTTGATCTAACACCGCAATCTTTGTCTTAGGGCCAAACCAGTGAAGTGGCGGTTACACCTTAGAAGAGTGTCATGTAATTTCTGCCAGTATTATATAATTTGATCATAAATCATATTTATCATTCAAACAATGTCTACCAAGAATTATATATTGGGTTTCATCTTTCCCCTTATTATTTATTCTAAAAGAAAAATACTGAATCCTTTCTTCTATTATCTAATGGCTTTAAAACTAATAAATGTTCTTTCTTCTATCAATAATGGTTTTATTCTATTTCTCCTTTTGTCCTCGCAAATTTTTTTTCTTCTATCATAAACAAATAAATTTTGTTTCTTCTATCATAAAGTACTCCGGCAATTAACTTATTTAATATCAAGTTAAAAAAAAACTAAATACCACTACAGTATAGTATTATTGATTGTTGCTCTTACATTCTTCTGCCAGCGTAAAATCTATACTTATTTTCAAAAACAAATTGAGATTATTAGGATATATTGGATTTGGAGAATATATGAGCATTTATAACTGATCATCTTAGTACATACTCCCTCCGTTCCTTAAAGATAAATATTCTAGAAAAAAAAATTGTTTCTAAAAGATACATTTTTTACATTTTCAATGTATGTTTTATTAAATAATTGTAAACTTCAAAAAACTTAATTGCACTAATTGATTTTTGATTGGTTTAAAATTATGGAAAGAAAATAAATACCAAAAACTATGCAAATTTATTGTGTTTTATTAAAAAGTGTGAAAAAACTAGAATATGGATCTTTTAGGAACAGGGTGAGTATTATATAAATTACGAAAGATTTTAAGAAAGTCAATATATGAGTGGTAGACAATTAACAGAAAACCATTAATACAATTATATTCTTTATTCGAATTGCAGTAAATGATTACATAATAAATGTTGTATGATTGCAGAATCTGTAAAATTTAACGAGAAATAGATTTATATACTTGCAAAACCGTAATTAAGAGAATGTTTTTTTAATATAGACAGGGAAGATAACCCACGTAAATCTATTATTTATTGTATATGGAGCCACTTTTGTTATACGAAAAGTGGAGAGAAGCTAAACGCTCAACCCATTCACGAGAATCACATTGAGCATAAATATCTTTGATTTTTTTTTGAAATAGATAGTCGAGCAAAATTAGCAGAATTGAGTCTTCTCAAACCTTTGCTTCCAATAAGGGTTAAGGTTATCCGCAAGGGGAAGACAAAAGTTGTCTCAACGTTCCAGAAATCGCAACTAATATTACGAGATGTGATAGTGAGCTATTTTTATTTATTTTTTTGCATTCTGCGATTATATATGTGAATTTTCTTGACAATAAACTAACCCGTTTATACTGCTATTCAACAAGGAAACACCATTTAAGCTACATTTACCAGACATTTAGATGCTTCCACTGAAATGCCAATGGAGGAAGGTTACTGTTATGAAATTAAAAATTTCATTCTAACTCCTGCAGTAGAGCGTCTTCGGATGACAAAGAACCCTCAACATATTAACCTCGATAGCTCATCATATATTTCGAAGATCGAAAATTTTCCCATGGTGAACTATTTTTGTTTTCCAGACTTTGACAATCTCTATTGTGGTATTTTTTCTATACTATCTAATATATTCTATTGGTATTTTTTCCCATGGTGAACCCTAAATTTTCTATTGGTATTTTTTCTATACTATCTAATATATTCGGCTTATTAAATTTTATAATAAAGCTTATTATGTTAATATTTATTAATTACTTATATATTGGTAATATTTTGATAAAATATCACGCAGATGTTTACGGGGCTATAGTAGGAGTAGGATTTCTTGAAGAATATACGACGTAACCTACTCATGGAAACAATGGTTTCAGAGACCATAAAATACGTGTCTTTGCACTAAATATGGAGTAAGTTTTCGACATTTCAAAAAAAATGATTTACTTAGTATCATATTTGCTGAAATATTTTCTTGTACATTGATCACAATAATGTTGTCGTTAAGTGTTTTCCATATGGAGCACTTGCTCATGTTTTCCAAACCATATGGAATTCACTTGACGAGAATATTGTGCTATGTGTGTTACAATTCTGGCCAATTAATTGGGGAGCAGGTAATATATTGTTATAGTTTTAAATAAATAATTTGTTGAATTTTATATCACATTAGATGATTGCTATTTTTTTTTGTTTAATCATGATAAGGAAAATTGAAGAATATCTCAAACATCGACGGATTTTCAAAAATCATTTTTAAACCTGATGATGTTCCAGAACTCTATGTGGTTCAGGATGAAGTATATCATTTCAATGAGTTGAAAATATTAAAAAATTTGTTTTTTTTGGTAAACTTATTAATTATTATTTTTGTATGTAGGATTGCAAACCAGAAGTTTTGAAGACAGTTTCTATCATTATATCATGTTTAATTTTCAATTTCTTATTTTGTTTTAATATACTTTTTTCTCATTATATCATGTTTTATTTTTCTATTACTTATTGCAATTTAATTTTTACTGTTTTTTAATAGTCCATTTGTTTAGTTTTTTGTATTATCAGTTATTTATAACACAAACATTGAAAACAATATTTTTGTAGCTATGCTTCATTTCACAACTATACTAATTTCTCATTATATAACTATATGTTTTTTTATTACTGATTAACATCTGGATGTCAAAAAAAAAAAATTACTGATTCACATCCACTGTATATTCTTTAATTAAACAAATTAATACATCAGATTAAAGTCAAAGTCATCTTATCCCACGTCAAAGTCATCTCACCCCATGTAAGGCGCACGTCAACACCTACTATGCTTGTTAAGAAAGCTTTTAGAAATGTAGACCCCAAAACCAGAAATACTCGTATGTTATGCGGCGACTAAATTTATTTTGATATTCCCATAAAAGGCACAAACTATTATAACAAATCATCTTCCACATTCATGCTCGAAGCAAACTTTTTATAATCTCTCTTTTGCATATACAAATGCTTACCATCTTCCAACGTTCCCTTCAAAACTTCGACTTTGCCACTGATTCCACTTTTTCCGAAGTAAAAAAACAAACAAAAAATCTTAGTTACCCTGGGAATAAGCCTTCATTTGCTCGTACTTGTTCTTGGCTTCTTGGATTCCCTGCTTAAGTTCGTCATACATTTTCACTGACAATTCTGCAAACTGATTGAGTTGGCCAGCAAATCCTTCCAAGCTTGTCCTAAAGCGATCAAATCCCGGACCACAATCTTCCAATGTCTCATCTTGCAACATGTGATCGTTATGGTTCTCGCCAGAACGATGTTTCCTGTTTCGATTCTTCTCCTGCCGTGGCAAGAACCTGGCGACATCAGAAGCAAGCGCTTTGATGGAGCTGGAAACCTCTTTGGTAGGCAAAGCTTCGAGCTTATCTAGCCAGATGCCACATGTTGCGTAAATGGGAGGACCATAGTTTCTGGGAGAATATTCTGGCACGCGCCTTTTACGTCTGGAAGATCTTTGTGGTAAGGCGAAACATTTCTCAAGCCATTCATTTATTGGTTTAATATATGATTTCTGGCCTGCGATCCACTTTGTGAAGCTTGAGGCCAACGCCCGGAGTTCATCTTCTAGGTGAGATGTCACTTGTCTGTGCAACTCCGACTGCATGTTGAGTTTCATGTTTCCGCTTCTGTGACACGCTGATATTAACCTAAACTGAGCCTTGTGGCATTCAAACATCACTTCCCACATTCGACTCAACCTACCAGGATATAATAAAATATAACAAGGCTCAGGTCAGGTCAGTTTTGAAACCAAATGAATTCAGAGACATACCCTTCAATGAGTTCTTCAAGTTGAGGCTGGAGCTCTTTGTCACGGAGCTCTTCAATCCGTCTTGATATTGAGTCGATCCTATGAATAGCCACTCTGATTCTGGAGTGAAGGTCCTTGACAACTGCCCGTGTCTTGTCTATTATTTTTGAACCTTTACCTTCTGATTCAAGTTCTCTTAAAACTCTGCACTTTTCGTCATACTCTCTCCGCACAGTTTGACTCCCCTGAAACAGTATAGAAAACACATTACATACTTTTGATTACATTTTCTTGAATAATGTATAAGGAACTCTAAGTACCTTCACTTCATCATAGAGCTTCCGCTCCCATGCATAAAGTCTGTCGAGGGTCGAGGCATGGCTTCCAGCAATCATGCAAATGTTTTCAAACAGATTGCTATTGAGCTCTTCCACATCATCACTATTCATTCCTCCCAGAGGATTCATAGAAGATGAGGATCGAGATGATTCAGTCCTATGCCAGGTCAAGTATTTCACCGAGTCATGAGCCGGCTCTGCACAGACAGCTCAGATTGTAACCCACTTCATCAAAATCAAAACAGTTAATAAGAAAAACAGTATTACCTTCTGGTACATCTTTGGGGTCGTCCCCACAAGACAAACAGGTTTTGAACAGTGATGATGCACCGGTGCCACCTGCAAGAAAAACAGAGGCATGTGGTTGAACGATTGTTTGTTCCTCAAATCGTAAGCAATTTAGAAGCAGAGATGAGAATTATTACTTTCTTTTGATGGAACTATCGGACGGAAATGCAATTTGTTGGCTTCAAGCATCCTAGGAACCTCTTTTCCAGTTTCTGAAGCTTTAACAAAGAGCAACTCTATCTCTTTCATGCTTGACAAGAAGTCCCTTGGAGGAAGCTTGTTCTCGGTGTGATCTCCCTTAATTGGTGTTTTGTTCACTGGAGTAGCAGCTGCTATTGGCGTCACTGGTGGTGATAACTCGGGAGTTTTGCTTTCCTCTGCGTCGCTTTCGACTTCCTCTCTTATAGGCAGGTCACTGTGATCACGACGCACTCTATTGAAGTTTTGAAAGCTTCTTACAAGTGTATCACTTGTGGGCTCATCATCAAACTCATCATCATCAGAATCTCTGGACTCTTCCCTTTCTTGAAAAGAAAAGTTGTCACCATCTTCCTCCACCTCTGTAGTTTCTTCATCTTCTCCCTTGACAGATCTTGACACATGAGGAGACGAAAACTGGTTGTCAATTGGATGAGAAAGACCAAAATAATCCCAAGGAGGTGGTGTAACTGTTTCAGATGGCATGGAAGAAGATTCTTCAAATGGGATTGATTCCACCTTTTCCATAGATCTGCTGCTCTGTGGGATACTAGACGAGGTAACAGTAGCGACAATAGAAACCGGTGGTTTCTCTTCCACTTTTTTTGAAGAAAACCCTCTGAATTTCATATGATTGACCTGGAACGGACTGGAACTAGGAGGAGAAGGAGAAGATAAGTCATTGTGGGGAGGAGAGTGAGACAAATGAGATCCTGATTTCTCGGTTAAAGCAAGAGCTTGTTCTGGTGTTGCACTAGTGGACGTGTACAAGGAAGACTCAACTGGAACTTCAGTCTCTGCAAATTTCCTGAGGGCGGTTCCAGTACTCCTAAGAGACTGGACGTATGAAACGTGAGCAGCTGCTAACAAACATCTTCCATCTAGTGCTTGCTGGACGAATTTTTTTCTTTCTCGACATAACTGTAAGGCCTTATCTTCATCTATTCTAGATGTTGTTGCACCCATTGTTTCCAATCTTACATGCACAAAAAAAAAACACACACACACACACAGTTACAGAATTAGATTTACAACCTGCAGTACCACTATACCAATAAATAATATGAAATTTACAGAAATATTAGAACAGATTCAAATCCAGAAAGTATTCTCGGTATCAATGCACCGACCCCTGGCAAGATCATAAGAATGGCTAAAAGAGAAATTTTCAATAAATTATCTAATGTAAAGGTGGAACAGAATCAATGTATTCATGCTCAATATGAAAGAAGAAACACTGATAGAGAGATGAAGCTACGCATTGCAGGATAGTTGCTACTAGGTAGATAATATAGTTCTCTCAAAACTCAACAGAGAGAGAAGACATTAACAATATAATACTAAGAAGCAAAAGGAAGAAGCTTATATTACTCAATCAAGACACGAACACAAGTAGACATAAGAAGAATACAATCAAAGATTCCAGCTCCATCATAATATACCAAATCACTAAGATAGCCTAAAAGCCAATATGTAGCAAGAAATCACTAAAAGGCAAATCAAAACGCAGGCTGACATAATCCTTTAAAATAGTAAACCCCTAAGAAAAGGGTTAAAAACTTTTCACAGAAAACGCATATCAGAACTCAAGTTCCAGTATAGATGAGGAACAATGAGAAACACACCAAAAAGACAAACTTTTTTCTGCTAATCGAACAGAAACAAACCACTTACGGTCATACCGTAGACGAATACCAAAGTAACTGAACAAATCAAGTTGGGTTTTGTTAGGAGAAAACGGAGATATTTTATAGAAAAAGGAACATAAACAAAGTCATGCCGAAGTGGATTAAACAAAATCAAGGAGTTTTCTCAGCGAATCGAACATAATAACCTCGGGAAAACTGAACAAGTGTGACTAAACAGCAAAAAGGAGATATTTTTATAGAAACCCAATTGAAAGCGGAGCAGAAGAAAACCATAGTGGAGAAACAGCGGTATTACCTAAAGAGTGCGAATTGAAGAGAGAGAGATAGTTGAGCTTGGAGTTACGCAAGAAGATCAAACAAAAACGTCTTGTACAAATAAACAGTAGAGGAGCCAAAAGAGAAGAGCGAGAGAGAGAGAGCAAACGAATCAGAGAGGTATCTTATGCGGAGGAGAAAAAGGTCAAAAAAGTGTGACACATGCAATAAAGCATTTCGCTTGCTTGTAAAGGAGATGGATCTCAAAAGAGTTAAGATTACATTCATGGCCATTTTTTTTTTTAATTTCTTTTATATTCATAGGTACATTCTACATGTCAAACACTTTGTTCTGGACCAACGGTAGATTCTGGATAATTTTGTCTTTAATAAACATTTTGTGTAGATAGATGATCCGTGGACGAGTGATGTTTGGACGGAAAGTATATGGACGAGTGTGTGGATGGATAATATGTAGGATATATAAACGAATGATTTGGAATGGTGTCTATGTGAGTTGATGGTGTATAAAACGGTGAATCTTCAATATAACTATGACATAGCTCCCATTAATGCATTAACAACTACATGTTAAGAATCAGTTGTGGGCGGCTCATCTACAGCCATTTTACCAAGCAAAACATTATCAGAAGCCACTCCATCTAATCCCTGAAAATCATGTCCATGCGGAATAATACCACAAACGACTCTGTCCGCCCCCATCATCCGTCCACGCGCCAGCTATCCATACACTATCCATTCAGCGCCAACTATCCATAAACCACTCATCCACACATTATCCATCCACATCTTTTACAGATCTGGATTTTGAAATCGAAACTTTACAAATCTGGATTTTGAAACCCAGAACAACACTTAGAAACCTACAAAACAAAAATGGATAACTGAACTATAACACTATTTTTATCTTTTGTAAGTATTGTTGATAAATAAAAAACAAAGAAAAATTCAATAATTACGGATAATTGAGCTTATCACTTAGATGAAGCTCTTCTTCTCTTTATTCGGAGTCTCATGTTACGGAGTTGACGTCACCATAACTATTATCACTTTAAGGTTGTGTGGACAAAATGAGGTTGATGTTTGGTTTTGGGACAACAAATGCTTTAAGAATCTTAATCTTTATCATATTTGAGATGAAGGTTGAAAATTGAGTTTTTTTGTGAGATGAAATTGAGATTAAAAAAAAGATTGGGTTTTTATGACTCCTAAGAAGAAAGAGAGGAACTTTCTAATTTCTAAGTAGTGTTAGGATTTTGTGTTCAGCAATTGAAAAACATAAGGGAAAGTTGGTTCAGCTACAATGTTTTAACTTTAAGGGTATTGGAGTCTTTTTGATATGAAAATGTGTACCTCAAGCACTAAGTGACTTGGAGTGTAATATGAAAGTGGGAATGTGTTTCTTAGTCTAAAAAATTCATCTCAAAACAGTAACTTTCTCTCGAGCTGTTGTTACTCTCACATTTTCTTGTTTTTTTTTCAATCAAATTACAGCTACGTTTCTTTCTGAGTCAAATTCTCGGATGCTCTTGGCATAGTTTCCCAAATACATTTTATTTATCTCATATTCCTCCAAAAAGTGATCAATGTCTAAATTACCAATTTTGTTTAAACTAATCATAATTATTCTCTCTTTTATTCTATCTTCTTTCTTTCTATATTCACTATAGATCTCAAACCCAGATTTTATTCAAGCTCCATTCAATTTAGCATTCATATTTTCCATTAATTCATTCGTGCAGAATTAGAAACTTTAATTTCAAATTTGTTTTCATAATTAACTAATTGAGAACAATGGATCTCAATCTGTTTAGATAATCAAAAACACTGGTATAATTATAAAAAAAAACATATTAGATTCTTATTTTGATTTTAAAAACTAGAAAACCTAGTAAAACTTGGTATGAACAACATAATATACCTATGTATAATTATGTATAGCCATAACTGTACAAATTGGTAAAATTATACTTGTAAAAATTGTGTAACTAGGTAAAATGGTACTAACAAAAGTGTATAATGTGATATAACTATATCGGGAAAACTTTATATCTTGGTAAATATTTATGGTTAAACCGTGTAAGTTCATCTAACTTAATGTTAATCATTTTGATTTTTACATGAGATGAAAAGTTCTTTCACAAATATACGCTTTGATTATTAAAAATACTATTATAAAGCCAGAGATGGTCATGAATGGATTTCAGATACTATTGGACAAGATATGCAGAAAGATGACCATAAATCCATGTACAATGTGAGAACCGAAATTCACACTGTCAATTTTCCATAAAATAAGGAAACTTAGGAAAACCCTAATTTTCCAGAGGTCCCGGATCTATGCGAGAGCCAACGACAAGTAACCAACGACCGACCCACTCCAGTCATTGTCGCTCGATACACAGTACCCCAACGACGAGTGCAACTTCCAAAGATAGACGCTGCACGACTTGATGCACTCCGGGAGCAGTCTAAAACTTCCAGTAACCTTCCCACCACCATCATGAAGAGACCCACAGACATCTTTGAGCCCATGGAGATAGAAAAGGAAAATCATGGAAGAGTTCTCAGAAAAAAGAAAAAAAGATCCCCAAGCCTATAAAAGAGAAGCTAATGAGAAGGAATTGTCAAGTTTCAGAAAGAGAGTTCTGAGAATACCTAAAGGAAACCCTTTGAAGAAGCCTACTTTTCACACAAATTGTGGATGTTTTTCAGAGAAACCAAGGAGACAGAAGAAGACATCAAGAGAATGTTTCACCAAGTCAGAGACAGTCTAAAGAAGAAGATCACACTAGAGAAGAAGAGCAATCCAGGGAAGTTCACAATAACATGTTTAATAAGAGGTGTTGAGTTCCTTCGTGCTCTCTGCGACACAGGATCTGGAGTTAGCATTTTACCCAAGATCATGGCAGACCATCTAGGTCTGAAGATAGAGCCTACTGAAGAATCTTTCATCTTCGTGGATTGTTCTCAGCAGAACTCTGGAGGCCTAGTTAGAAATTTTGAGGTACAGATTGGAGATGCCCTGATTCCTACAGACTTCCACGTCCTGGAGAACAAGCTTAACTTCAAGACATCTCAACTCTTTGGAAGAGCTTTCTTAGCAACAGTTGGAGCTGTTTGTGACCTCAAATCCAATAAGTTCTGCCTAACCCTAAATGACCCTACCATCCACTACAATCCAGTCCAAGTCATCAAGATTCCAAGGACAGAGAGCCCAGTACTCGTAGCAACTTGTTTCTGTGACCACGAGTATGATTCAATGGCTGAGTACGAGACAGAACCAGACGTATCGAGCGACAGAAGTCTTCTACCATCGACCGACACCAATCAACCAGAGTCGACCGACGAGCATACCTGGTCATCGATCTACAGGCTATTCCAAGAGATCGAAGAGGAGTTTCCAGATGGCGGTTTTCACGTAGATGATTGGGAGAACGATCATTACATGCCCGAACTGGCTAATATCACTACTCAGGAGGAGTATGATGAAGAATATGAAGAGGAACGAGCCACAGAGTATAGATTTCGTAGGGGAGATGAAGCAAGACCTCCTCTACCGTCCTTCATCTACCGAGCATCGATCGACAGAGACCACCCTCCATCGACGGATATGCACCAACCGAGGCCGCTCAAAAGACGTTACGAACCACCGAGCGACAAACCATACGTCCCACATGATACACAAGACATAGACTACTCAATTAGAAGTTGGGCAAGCAATTACCATGCAAGCTTCGCAGTGGATACATCACCACTGATGCATACGACCACACCAGAAGCAGACGTATCGACCGACACAGAGCACCAACAATCATTCGACAACAACCTCAAACAATCGACCAATGCACATGCCATCATATCGACCGACACTACACCATCTGAGGTACAAACACATAACTTCAATTTTACATTACTAATGCCGGATGAATTTGGTATTTTCAGGGATCTAGATGGCCATGCACGAGCAATGGACGAAAGAAACATTCCAATCTCTAAAAGAAGACGTTGCAGACATCCTTCAGATGACCAACTCAGCATATCCAGAATTTCAACAGGCATCGATCGATACGTGGAGAATCACATCGACCCATATACGTCGAGAATTTGGGAAACGAGCTTTCAAATCCGGGATTCGTCAGTTCTTATGGGAAAAGAAAGACGAATATGGTGTTTACAGAGATGAGAATGGTTTCGCAAGAGGAGTAGATGGAGATATCATACATGTTTCCAAAGAAGATATGGGGAAATTGCTGAATAGAGCCTCACTGATGGAGCGCTCTTGTTTCTGTTTACCAGAACACGCTGAACAGTCTCAGAAGTGGAAGCATTACCTTTTGGGGAGGAAGTTCACACTGATCAAAAGACCTTAAAGTTTTTGTTGGATCAACGTGATATATCACTGGATTATCAAAAGTGGTTAACAAAGCTTTTAGGCTATGAGTTTGAGATCATTTACAAGGCTGGAATTGAGAACAAAGTAGCAGATGGCTTGTCTCGCATTGTTCAAGAGCATGTCCTGGGATGTATGGAGCTGTTCAATGCGTTGACAACATCTACAGCTTTACAGATGCAAGATATCTTTGATGAGGTTGATAATGATGAGGGACTTAATCAGCAGTTACAAGAGATGGTTGAAGGAAAAACAGAGAAGCTGGGGTACTCAATTAAGGGTGGCAGACTGTTTTATAAAGATCGTTTGGTGTTGCCAAAATCATCAAAGAATATTGCTCTCATATTAAAGGAATATCATGATGGAGTTTCTGGTGGTCATTCGGGTGTATTGAAGACGATCAAACGTATTCAACGTCTGTTTCATTGGCCAAACTTAAAGAAGGATGTGCAGCGTTATGTGGCCGAGTGTCAAATTTGTCAGACACATAAACACTCTACTTTACATCCTGCTGGGTTACTACAACCGATTGCTTTACCTAATCAGATATGGGAAGAATTAAGTATGGATTTTGTCAAAGGCCTTCCCAAGTCTCAAGGCATGAGTGTGATATTTGTGGTTGTTGATAGATTGAGCAAGTATGCTCATTTTATGGGTCTCAAACATCCTTATACTGCAGCAGGAGTTGCTGAGAACTTTGTCAGGGAGGTTGTTCGTTTGCATGGATATCCTAAATCAATTATCTCTGATAGGGATCGTGTGTTTCTCAGTGGATTTTGGAAGCAAAGTTTTTGTTTGGCAGGCACAACTCTGAAGTTTAGCACAGCTTATCACCCTCAGACGGATGGTCAGACGGAGGTGATAAACAGATGTCTGGAGTCTTACTTGCGATGCTTTACTTCTTGCCATCCTAAGAGCTGGTTCCAGTATTTGTCGTGGGCAGAATATTGGTACCATTCGTCTTTCCACACATCTCTGAAAGCTTCACCCTTTGAAGTAGTCTACGGCAGGAAACCACCTGAGTTGTTGAGATTTGAGGAGGGTTCTACTCAGAATTATGAGTTGGAGGATCAGTTGAAGCAACATGATGCTATGTTAGCTGACATTAAGCTCCATTTATTACGAGCTCAAGAGTTGATGAAGAATAATGCCGATAAGAACCGCAAGGATTTGTAATTTGATGTCGGGTCGTTGGTCTTTCTCAAACTTCGACCATATAGGCAAACATACGTGTCTAAACGACTAAATCACAAGCTTTCTGCAAAGTTTTATGGGCCTTTTAAAGTGTTGGAGAGGATTGGTGCAGTTGCTTATCGCTTGGAGTTGCCTTCATCTTCTAAGATTCACCCTGTGTTTCATGTTTCACAGCTCAAACCGGTCTTGGGATCTGGTCACGTGGTAATGCCCTTACCAGAAACTTTGAGCACAGAGGAAGATTTGGTTCTTTGTCCAGAAGAGGTGTTGGAAGCTCGTTATGATTCAGAGGGTTATTTGGAGGTTTTAGTCAAGTGGAGAGGTTTATCAAACTCGGAGAAATCTTGGATGCGTGTGACTGAATTTGTGGCTCAGTTTCCTTCATTTGAGCTTGAGGGCAAGCTCAGTCTTAGCGAAGGGGGTATTGATATGGCCCATAGAGGTTACGTGAGGAGGAAGAAACAAGTGGAGGCGCACGTGGGAGAGGTTGTTACGTCAGTTACAGTTGTTGGAGGAAAGAATTAAAGAAGATGCTGAGCTGGAAGCAGAGAGGGAGGAGAAAGAGAGACTAGTATAAATAGTAATAGCTTTGTAACAGAATAATTACGCATACATTGAGAGTGTGTGAGGACTTGTGATCTCGAGTGAGATACAAGTATTTGGCTTATTTCTCCGATCTGTGGAGATTTAAGAGGGGCGGTTAGGTGGATTTACAAATAATAATACAAAGTTCTTATCGGGACTATTACAGAAAGGCTGAAACAAATGAAGCTAATGGTCTGCGGCATGTGAGAGCGGAAGGAAAAGATTCTGATGCAAAAGGAGATGAGAGTGAAGATACATTCGACTCTTATGGTCAAGATCCCCTGGAAGTGATGGCTGCCAAAGAGAAGCTAGATGCTGCACCAAACTGTTTCATGCTGCTGAATTCGTGCAAAAGCATATCAAGTTGAAACACACTGAGCTCGTGGTGGACCTGACTGCGAAAGTGCGGGAAGAGCTATATTTTCAGAACTATATGAAGTATGTGTGTTTTTTTCTCGTGGATTCATCTTCTGTCATTTATGATGGGTTCGTAGTGTAAAACTTATTTTCCATTTGCAGTGATCCCGATGCTCCAGGAGGACAGCCACCCACACAGCTACCTGGCCCGGTAAATAATCTTTTTTTAATCAGCTGATGGAATATTAATTAACTTGATTAGTCTGTAATTGTAAGTTTTCACTTATGTATCTTTGTTTTGTGTTTACGTTTGACAGAGAGATAGACCTATGATGAGACGTAAACCAAGCATGGAGAGCAGATTGAGGGATGATCGAGGTGTTCGCAGAGAGGAAGAGGGACGGGGTAATGGAAACGACAGAATTTATCGATCGGAGGAACAACAGAGAGGTGGTGGTGTCCTAACGGTGTGAATTCCAAGGAATGTGGGGGTTACGGTGCATTTGATGGGCAAGGCGGTGTTCATGTTCCTTCCCACTCGTCGGATGTAAACCCACCACCAGTACTGATGCCTGTTCCTGGTGTCGGGTAGGTTTTATTGACTACTAACTCTCTCATGCTCGTGTTATAAGTGTAAAATAAAGAGTTAGATAGTGATTTGTAATGCTGTCTGAATGTTGATGTGGGCACGCCACTAGGACCATTTGTACCAGCACCACCTGATGTTGCAATGCAGATGTTCAGGGACCCAAGTGGACCCAACCCTACTTTTGAAGGTGGTGGCAGAGGTGGACCGGCCCCTTTTCTTTTGTCTCCAGCCTTTAGACAGGATCCTAGACGGCTACGCAGGTAATATGATTCGATCTCTATTGCTGTGGGTATCATAATCAGATATTGCTTTCATATTTCCACAAAAGATGGCTCAATTTAGAGTTAGTTACCAAATGAACAAGAGTTCGATGTCTATAAGAAACTAATGTAATGAGAAAATGATGGCAGTTATCAAGACCTAGATGCTCCAGAAGAGGAAGTAACCGTCATTGATTACAGGAACTTGTAGACACATGAGAGTGAGCTCCAAAGGAAGACGTGACCGAGTCTACCCGTTCGGGTTGAAGGAATCAGTGTTAGAAGGATTGGCAATTGGCAATTTACATGTCCTTTTGATGTATGTATACTTTTTTGCTTTGGCTCACTAAAAGCATAAGACACGAACTTGATATATTTTCCAAGTTGCTTTTCATGTGCCTAGTTGGCGGTGACTTAAACGTGTATGAGAGAATTCTTGTCCCCATACTGCGTCTCATCAACATTTTCTCGCATCTTTATTTTTTGAAAAAGTATTAATTCTCGTTATCTCCCGTTGCACTCAAACGGATGGGTAAATAAATGTCAGAAAAAGGATTATATATACACTTCAAAGCCCTGGCCAGAATCAAGACTCAATGCCCCCACCTGTTTGTTTCTCCACACTTGCGTAGATGACATGACACTAACACAATACACATGAGACGTTGTATCGTACAACATCAATTACAAAGATTGAACAGACGAATCCTGGTGAGGAATCCTCCTACGTTTTTAAAAGAAAAAATATTTCCGTGGTTGCTTCTCTTTCAACATCACTTGCGTTGCTTCTTCACTTGTGGTTCTGTCTGTAACTCTCCCTGCAAATGCAAAGTTACAGTTTAGGGTCTTGATAAGTAGCAATATGGCTCTGTTTTTAAGTAAATAAAAGGGAGTGTGGCTTACAACAATGGAGAGCTGCTCACGGATATAGGCCATTGATCTCAACATGGCACCTAGTGTATCCCGAGACACCTGAAATTTGACTTCTGATTCTCCTGTTGCTGTCTCAGTGTCTTGCAGCTGAAGTAAGATATAAAAAAGGTCTTTTTCACAAAGTGGAAACTCTTTATTTCAATCAAGAGCCGCTAACTTGGAATAAGACACCCATCTCGGTAACTACCAAAGAGAGCTAGTTTTAAATATAATTGAATCCATTTTCCAACGAAATAATGCATCATGAACATGAGTCTTCTATCGGAGCTTAAAATGAATGAAAGGATCCAGATTATGTTACTAGTTAAGGATGAAACAACACAGAAGTTTCCTGCACTGACGTTGTATAAGGAAATTAGGGTACAACAAACCAACGGCAATAAACAAACTACAGTACTAGAAAGTGACACAAAGAACTCAAAGACTTCTGTCTGAACAAGGGAAATGAAGACTACATGAGAAGCTACCTAGAGTCAAAGGAGCATACCTTTAAATTGATGACAGCTACTCTATTCGCTGGAGCTGAGAGTTGTTCGCTGATGTAAGCCATAGACCTTAACATAGGTTCAAGTGTAACGCTTGACAGCTGAAACTTGACCTCCATATCTGCTGAGGGAAACTTTCTGTAATCGTGCAACTGAAACACATCATAGAAAGAATCCTCACTAACGCCGTCAGGTACAATTTTGCAGGAAGCAACTTAAACTATTGATGGCCACAAATTCGATACTAATATCTTATAAATTTTCATCAAAAACTGATAAACGCAAAAACCATAATATAAAAGGTTTATGGTTCGTATGATGCACACCTTTAAATTGATAACTGCAACTCTACCACCCGGCATAGTATTCTTACTCTCCATCCCCCAAGTCATTGACTTAAGACAAGGAAGAGCTACCTGTAAACAAAGCAGTCAAATTATTACCAAACACCGGAGAGAATAAAATAACTAAGTCTGCGAAAGGTTCCTCTGGGTACCATATTATCAGGAGCACCATCATCTCGGTGAAGGGATATTGGTGCCATTCGCGGCAGATTCAAATCGGCAACAGATTGAGCTCTGGCGCCACCATCGTTAAGATTAAATCTGCGTGTCATTTCATCCTGACGCGGCCACAGCAGAGGGGTTGAGTCAGATGCTGATAGCGAGGTCTTTGCATCAACACTGTTTCCACCACAATGTGAGCTAGCAGGAGCAGCTCTGCCAACATTTTTCCTGACAGCTGAAACCTTCTTTCCACCTTCTCTGAGAGCTCCTAAAGAAACATTGTAAGTCTCAGGTGTAATTGCCCCTTCCTCAGCATACTTGATGGCCTCACGACATAAATGGTTGTAGCGGTGTAACAAGCCATCACTAACGTGCTCATCCATCTCTACAACGCTCTTGGCATTTCTAGTCCACCTTCCCAGAATATAATGTGGCGGCAAGGTGAGTATATTTGTGACAGTAAAAACTGTCAGAACGTGTCGACAGAGTATGCCAGAATGCTCAAACATTTGACAGCTGCAGTTTGCTCTCATCTCGGGGTAGCAAAACGACACTATATAAGCTTTGTTGTCATTTTCAAATTTTGCAACCCTGAATGTGGTGGCAGTACCATCATCATCAATTCTGTTTGCAGTGTACGCAAATGTCTCTACCAACTCTGCCTGAAACTTCTCAAAGATTCTCCGTGTATACAGATTTGCAGCTTGACTCTCCATGGGTGATGGAGTCTTCAAGATCGGAGGCGTATTGACAGTGTCAAGATCAGCTTCAGTCTCCATCTCAAACCAGCTCTCCATAGCCCTTTCGTACAGCCTAAAGAACATGGGAAGTGTTGTCTGCTGATTCACATACCCATCAAAAAAAGAACCTTGTGTCGGGAAGATTGCAGCAAAAAAGGAATCCCGGAAATAAACAGGCACCCACTGAGATCGAGCTTTATATATAGAAGAAAGCCATTCATGTCGTCCTAAGTCATACTTTTCAATGATGGAACTCCAAGATGATTCAAACTCCTCTATGGTTTCAGTGAAGTTGATACAGTTATAAAGCTCCACCTGAAAACTAGGATAGGCGAGACAGACATGAGCCAGCTTTTCCTGACCTTGTCTTAGTACATCCCACTTATTAATACAGTGACGAGCACCTGGAAAGACCTGAGAAGCAGCAATCTGTATGGATCTATCTTGATCAGTCACCAAAGAGAGAGGGGGATGATCTCTCATGGCCGTTAGAAAAGTCTTGAAGAGCCAGATAAAGGAAGCCTCTGAGTCGTCAAGAATGAGAGCACAGCCGAAAAGGATAGCCTGACCGTGATGATTCACACCAGTAAAGGGCGCAAAAGGAACAAGAAACTGACTGCACCTGTACCTCGTATCTAGCGTAACCGTGTCGCCAAAACGAGTAAAAGCAATCCTAGACCTGGAATCAGCCCAGAAAACATTAGTCATCTGACTATCATCATCAAGCTGAAGGGCGTAGAAGAAACCAGGGTTCTCTGCCTGCATCCTCTTGAAATACTCCAAGAGGTTATGCGCATCACGTCCCAGCGTTCTCTTGGAAGCAACTCTAGCTCGACTCCCGTCCATGGAAACATACATCATACCACTAGGGACATTAGATTTGTCAGAAGTCGCAAAATGCCTGCGAGGGCGAAGACAGTGGAGCGTGTTGGGACTTGCTAATCCATGGCTATGCTCTTGGACGAACTTGGTGACAACCCATTTGTTATCACCCTTCAGCTCTATCCTAAGCACTGCATCGCAGATTTCAGCAGGCCTTCGTCTCGACCTTTTGCTACTACTACACACGAATTCTCGAGCATTTGTATCGGTGACGCTAAGGAGCTTGGATGTGAACGAGAGCTGCCTAGCGTACTCGTCATAGAAAGATTTGGCTTCTTTCTCAGAATCGAACTCCATGCCAACACACGGCTCTGCAACTCCGATCTCGTCTTGAACTCCCAATGAATTCTCCATGTCATGATTCACCATTGGGTCAACCAGATGAATATCATCCATCTTCTCACTTACTTTTACTAAATAGTTATGAGATGGAACACGGGATTAACTAGGGTTTATCAATCCCTCTTTGAGATCGACCACAACCTAGGAAAGGCAGAAACTTTGAAGTTTTGAGATGAATCAGAATAAAAGAGAATGGATATTTACCTTAATGAGCAAATAAGTTTGAAGAGCCAAACTCGGCGCTGTGTTGCGCCGAAGGAGAAAGAAAAGAGATGATTAATTTCCGGCTTCACTTGGGGTAAAATATAATTATATTTTGCATAATCATACAAAACTGAGACCAAAATATAAACATGGGAAATTGACCGCCCATTTCAAGTTATATCACAAAAAGAACCCCAAAAGAAAAAAGTCACAAATATAACATTCATTAGTGAGTGAGAGAAATGTCCGCACTGTTCTTGTTTTGTGTTTAATAAAACAACTTGAAAAAAAAAACCATATTTCTCTTTTCTTCGACGAGAATCTCAGACGACGGTTCTGATTCTCTTCCGTCGGCTCCAATCTCGCTCTTCCGTCGACTCCAGCTTTTCCGTCGGCTCTAATCTCGCTCTATCATCTCCAACGAAACCCAAGAAGATTCGACGACGCTATTTCGGTACGATTTTTCTTCTTAGGGTTTCTAATTGAAATTTAAGGATTTTGATTTGTTGTTCGCGATCTTTTATTTTAGTGTGTGATGGTGTTTTAGTTCTTTTGTTCCTCTAAAAGTTATGATTTTTCCTAGTTAAGAATAGGGAAAATTCCTTAAAAATACACCAACTGAGTTTCTTTTGCTAAAAAAATACATCAACTTTTTAGACTTCCCGAAAAATATACAGAGTAATTTTGGTTATCTACAAAATGCATGAACTTTTGAATTTTGAAGGTTTCACACCTCGATTTTAACGGTGTTAACTCTGATTAACAGAACATTTAGACGCTGTTAGACGCCGTTAGACGACGTTAACTCTGATTCAAAAGTTCATGTATTTTGTGGACAACCAAAATTAGTCTGTGTATTTTTCGGGAAACCAAAAAAGTTCGTGTATTTTTTCAGCAAAGAAAATTTAGTATGTGTATTTTTAAGGAATTTTCAAAAATATACTAAGGTGGAAAAGACATTGATTTTTTTTTTTGACTGAAAAATGTAACTTTTGAATATATTTTGTTCATATTGAGGCCGGTTTTCTAGGGTCAATTTGGATCTATATTTAAAATACGTGTAAAATACCAGTAATTTTCGGATATGTATCATGTAATAGAGAATGTGTTTTTGTTTGGGTCTTTGGGTCGGGTTTGGGCCGGTTCTTTTCGGATCTAAGATATCCGGATCTAAGAACCGGCTCAAACTCGACTCAAAGAACTGAACAAAAGCACATTATCTTCCACATGATACATATCCAAAAATTACTGGTATTTTTCACGTATTTTAGTTATAGATCCGAACTGATCCTAGAAAAACTGGTCTCAATATGAACAAAATGAACAAAATATAAATAAGCCAAAAAAACACATTGTTCATATTAATATTCACGTATTTTAATATATTTTGAACAATGTGTGTATTAATATGAATAATGTGTTTTTTTTGCTTCTTTATATTTTGTTCATTTTGTTCATATTGAGACCAGTTTTTCTAGGATCAGTTCGGATCTATAACTAAAATACGTGGAAAATACTGGTAATTTTTGGATATGTATCATGTGGAAGAGAATGTGTTTTTGTTCAGGTCTTTAGGTCGGGTTTTGGCCGGTTCTTAGATCCGGATATCTTAGATCCGAAAAGAACCGGCCCAAACCCGACCCAAAGACCCAAACAAAAACACATTCTCTATTACATGATACATATCCAAAAATTACTGGTATTTTACACATATTTTAATTATAGATCCAAACTCACCCTAGAAAAACCGTCCTCAATATGAACAAATATATTCAAAAATTACATTTTCAGTCAAACAAAAAAATCAATGTCTTTTCCACCTTAGTATATTTTTGAAAATTCCTTAAAAATACACATACTAAATTTTCTTTGCCGAAAAAATACACGAACTTTTTTAGCTTTCCGAAAAATACACAGACTAATTTTGGTTGTCCACAAAATACATGAACTTTTGAATTAGAGTTAACATCGTCTAACGACGTCTAAATGTTCTGTTACTTAGAGTTAACGCCGTTAAAATTGAGGTGTGAAACCTTCAAAATTCAAAAGTTCATGTATTTTGTGGACAACCAAAATTACTCTGTGTATTTTTCGGGAAGTCTAAAAAGTTGGTGTATTTTTTTAGCAAAAGAAACTCAGTTGGTGTATTTTTAAGGAATTTTCCCTTAAGAATACACCAAAAAGTTATAGCTTTTTCTTGTTTTGGATAATCATGAGTGTATTGTGTTCACTCGTTAGACTCCTAAAAACAAAGCTCTTTTGCATTTGTTTTGTTGAAAGAAAGCTACTTTGTTTTGTTGCTTGCGTGATTTGGAATCAAAAGGTAAAGAGAGATGAAAGATTTTCGTTTTCGTTTACAGGTACAACGAACAAAACAAGGCATTGCTTCACTCGTTAGATCGAGTTCCACAGGTACTCTTTTGTTTGATTGAGTTACTTAGAGCACCCCCATTGAGAGTTCAAATGGGGGGTTCACACGGAAACCAAAAAAAAAAAAAAAAAATAACAAAAACCTATGAACCCCTCTCTCCTATAGTTCTCTCGGGTGAACTCCTCTCTCCTGAGGTTCAACACGTGTAAACTCGGGATTGGTCTAGATTCTTTTTTTTCTTTTTTTTTTTAAATCAAAAAGAAAACAGAAAGAAATTTAATAATAAAAAATTGATTCAATGAACCCCAAGAGGGGGTTCATTGATGTGGATGCTCTTAGTTCTTCCCAGTTCTCAAGTTTTTTTTGTTTTCAATTCGTTTTGGTCTTAACTCTGTCGACTATTAGCAAATCTTGTGTTTTTTACTCTCTTATAAATGCTTTGTCAACACTTTATTTATTTTTTAATCTTATGAAGCTTACGTGTTTGTTAAAAAGTTGTTGAAGCTTAAATCTACTTAATGTGTTTAGCAAATGAATGTGTTTTCAATTGAACAGTTTCAGGAAAGCTTTCCAGAATAGTTTCAGGAAAGCCTTCCAGAATAGTTTCAGGAATGTGTTGGATGTGTTTTCATTTTTACATAATGAATGTGTTTTTCATTTGTAAAGTTTCAGGAAAGCCTTCCAGAATAGTGTTCAATTATGTTACTATTTTTTATTTAAAAAGTTGTTGAAGCTCAAATCTACTTAATGTGTTTAGCAAATGAATGTGTTTTCAATTGAACAGTTTCAGGAAAGCCTTCCAGAATAGTTTTAGGAATGTGTTGAATGTGTTTTCATTTTTACATAATGAATGTGTTTTTCATTTGTAAAGTTTCAGGAAAGCCTTCCAGAATAGTTTGAAATTTTGAAATTTTTTTATTCAATGTCCTGTTCTAGTTAAGCATGTTGATATCTCTTGTTGCTTGTGATTGTTAAACTCTCTAGTGTTTATGAAGTTTTCGTAAAGCATTTGTATAGTTTCAGGAAAGGGTTCCAGAAATAGTTTAAAATTTTTTTTCCTCTTGTTTTCGCAGGGCAGAGACAATGATGGCAGATTCATTACCAACAAGACTAGCACTTCCAGAGCTGAGGTATCCGATTGGTTCAGAGCCAATGGAAAAAAAACTTGGCAATCAACCAACATTCAAACCCAACCGATATTTTGATAGTTGAAAGAATTCAACAGAAGATGAGATGAGAAGAATCTGAGAGTCTTTCATGGGACCTATACTGAGGCTAAGTCAGAGTAGGCTAAAATTATCAGCAAAGACTGTGTATGCAATTCTCGTAAGGAGCATTGTTAGTGTCAAAGAAAATGAAGCATGGTTTCATTTTGGTGCGCAGCCCATGAGATTCTCTATTAGAGAATTTCACATGGTGACTGGGTTGAAATGTAGAGTTGAAGGAGAAGAACCAAGAATGGAACCCGAGAGATATAAATGGGACTTGCTAAAGAGGCGTAATCATAACTTAAGGGATGTGGTGAATCAGCTTAGGAAGACAGACATAGATGCTTCTGATGAGAGAGTATGTCTGGCAATGCTGCTACTAGTTGAGAGCATATTGCTTAGGAAGAACAACACAGGGAATTTTCCTTTGGAGTATGCAAAAAAGGCGCAGGATATATCATATCCATGGGGAAGAGAGGCTTACACCGTGCTCCTGAAGTCTATTCAAAACGTTGTCAACAATCATTTAGAGGGCACTTCAAAGTTTGAGTTGCAGGGATATCCACTAGTATTCCATCTTTGGATACTAGAGTTTATCCCTTTATTCCGGAATTCGTTCAGTGCCTGCGTACAGCCTCTTCAGTATGGACCGGTTTATTTGTGTGAGTATTACACTACTTTATACTATCCAGCACTTGAACACGTTTTGAAGTTTGAAGGTGACGCAAATGTAAGCTTTTAGAATGATATTGTTTTGTATATGTTTAGCTTCTTGGTTTTTAAAATTTATTCTTATTGGTTTTTCTTTATAAATGTTTTCAGTTGCAGGTCAAATGCATCATGCCTTCTATTGCTAATGATCCTGAGGATGATGTCTATATGGAAGACAAATATAGTGAAGAGCTGGAGTCCTTGAAAGATATATCCAAGAAAGGATACAACTTTAAAGCTGAAGATTGGAGAAATAGGTTCAGAGAAACGGTGGACGCACTAGATGCTTTGGTTCAAATGGTTGCAAATGAGGAGACTAGCCAATCTTCAAATCCGATTGAGAAAGATTCAGTGGATACAAAATTGAAGAAGATCATTGTGGTAATGGAAGAGAATGTAAAGAGCATGAAGGAAAGAATGTTCTTACTGGAAAAAGAGAACATGGAGCTTAAAGCTCGTGTGTCTGAGTTGGAAGGAAACCTGAATGTTGATCCACAGACTAGACTCCCGCTAATGTGACTCATGAGGTAAATTCTCAAGAAAAAATCTTGTTTTACATTTGGACTTTAAAAGTAATATTTGGAAGCTCTTGTACAGAATCTTGAATGCCTTCTTGATTTTTGTAGAATGACACACATCCAATGAGTGGGACACATGTATCTCCAATGTCTCAACAACAAGATGCTGAAGATTTCTG